ATAGTTGTGAAGTGAAAGGAAAATGTTAAATGGTTTTCAAAATTTGTTTACAAATATCTGAAAAGTATGGTTTGCATTTGTATTCAGCCCCCGAGTCAATACTTTGTAGAACCACCTTTCACTACTATTACATTACAGCTGCAAGTCTTTTTGGGGATGTCCTTGCACATCTAGATAGTGAACTTTTTGCCCATTCTTCTTTGCAAAATAGCTCGAGCTTTGTCAGATTAGATGGAGAGCATCTGTGAACAGCAAATTTCAATTTTGCCAGATTCTCAATTGGATTGAGGTCTGGACTTTGACAGGGCCATTCTAACACAAGAATATGCTTTGATCTAAACCATTCCATTGTAGCTCTGGCTGTTGTCAGGGTCGTTGTCCTGCTGGAAGCTGAACCTCCGCCCCAGTCACAAGTCTTTTGCAGACTCTAACAGGGTTTTCTTCTAAGATTGCCCTGTACTGGGCTCCATCCATCTTCCTATCAACTCTCACCAGCTTCCCTGTCCTTGCTCAAGAAAAGCATCCCCACAACATGATGCTGCCACCACTATGTTTCACGGTGGGGATGGTGTGTTCAGGGTGATGTGCAGTGTTAGTTTTCCACCCCACATAGGATTTTGCTTTTAGGCCAAAAACTTACATTTTGTACTCACCTTCTTCCATGTTTGCTGTGTCCCCCACATGGCTTCTCGCAAACTGCAAATGGGACTTCTTGTGGCTTTCTTTCAACAATGGCTTTCTTCTTACCACTCTTCTATAATGGCCAGATTTGTGGCATGCACAACTAATAGTTGCCATGTGGACAGATTTTCCCACCTGAGCTGTGGATCTCTGCAGCTCTCCCAGAGTTACCATGGGCCTCTTGGCTGCTTCTTTGATGAATGCTCTTCTTGCCCGGCCTGTCATTTTAGGTGGGAGGCCATGTCTTGGTAGGTTTGCAGTTGTGCCATACTCTTTCCATTTTTGAATGGTAAATTGAACAGTGCTTCTTGAGATGTCCAAAGCTTGGGATATTCTTTTATAACCGAACACTGCTTTAAGCTTTTCCACAACTTTATCTCTGACCTGTTTGGGATGTTGCATGGCCTTCATGATGCTGTTTGTTCACTAATGTTGTCTAACAAACCTCTGAGGGCTTCACAGAACAGCTGCATTTATCCTGAGATTAAATTACCCACAGATGAATGCCACACATTTTTTAGATATTTGTAAAAAATTTTAAAAAGCACTTATTGTCCTTCCTCTTCACAATTATGTGCCACTGTGTATTGGTCTATCACATAAAATTCCAATAAAATACATTTACGTTTTTGGTTGTAACATGATAAAATATGGAAAAATTCAAGGGGTATGAATACTTTTTTCAAGGCACTGTACAGTTGTGCTCAAAAGGTTGCATACCCTGGCAAAAATTGTAACATTTTGGCATTGATATTGAAAATATGACTGATCATGCCAAAAAATGCTTTTATTGAAGGATGATGATAATATGAAGCCACAAGAAAAATACAGGCTGCGCTGGAAAAAGACAGTGTGGTTGTTTTAAAGGAGCACAATATGATGGCACTTAAACAAAAATGAGCTACATGGTCGAGGTGCCAGGAAGAAGCCTTTACTGCATCAATGACACAAAAAGGCCTGGTTAGGCATGTCAAGGTGTTGTCAGGCATATTGTAACCAGGCTTTTTTGTGGCATTGGTGCAGTAAAAGCTTCTTTCTGGCACCTCGACCAAACAGCTCATTTCTTTTCAAGTATCACCGTATTGTACTCAAAAACAACCACACCATCTTTTTCCAGATCAGCTTGTATTTCTTTTGAGGTTGCCTGTGGTTTTTTCTTTGAATCCCTGACATATCTTCTGTCAGTTATGGCTGCAATCTTTCTTGGTCTACCTGACCTTGGCTTGATATCAAGAGATCCCTGAACTTTCCACTTCTTTATTGGTGATGTGACAGTACTGACTGGCATATTCAAGGATTTGGACATATTTTGATGTCTTTTTCCATCTTTATAAAGTTCCATTACCTTGATACACAGGACTTTTGATAGTTCTTTTCTGATCCCCATGGCTCAGTATCTAGCCCAGTCAGTGCTTCCACGTAAGAGCTAACAAACTCATTGACTATTTATACACTGACACTAATTGCAATTTTAAAAGCCACAGATGTGGGGCATTAACCTCTAACTGGCATTTTAACCCGTGTGTGTCACCTTGTGTGTCTGTACCAAGGCCAAACATTCCAGGGTATGTGAACTTTTGATCTTGGCCATTTGGGTGATTTCTGTTATTATTATTTAAAAAGGAGCCAAACAACTATTTGATAATAAATGGCTTCATATGATCATCATCCTTCAATAAAAGAGCATTTTTTGGCATGGTCAGTCATATGTTCAATATCAATGCCAAAATGTCACAACTTCTGCCAGGGTATGCAAACTTTTGAGCACAACTGTATGTATGTGTGTGTGTGTGTCTGTCTATATATGTACAGTGCATTCATAAAGTATACAGACCTCCTTCTTTGTTGTTTTTTTTTTTTTTCTCATTCTACATTCCATACCTTTTTTATAATGACAAAGTAAAAACAGTATTTGAGAAATGTCTGTGAATGTATTAAAAAGAAAAAATGGAAATATCACATGTACCTAAAGAGAGGAGCTTCAGTCTTCTGTGTAAAAAATTAAGTCATCAGCTACAAAAAGTGTAGCTGCTGACTTTTGATAAACAGCCACTCACTGTGCACAATGTGCACCAAACAGTTTTTCACCACCCGTTTACTGTCGCCAGCATCTTATTTGCGAGCAGCTGGCTGTGATAGCTTGCGGATGTCCACTGCGCATGCAGGAGCCACGCTGTGCATTGTGAATGGTCCCACAGTCTTCTGGGACCTGTGACGTGCCCCAGAAGGCTGCAGGGAGTGAGGGGGGAGGAGACCTTCGACTCTGATTGCCTAGGCTGTAAGAGCAGAAGTGAGTACCTGTCAAAATCAGGTACCCGCCCCTCGCCCCCCCAAAAGTGTAATTTCATAAACAGGAGGAGGCCTTAAAGCGGAACTTCCCCTTTTGAGTGAAGCTCCGCTTTAAGTATGCCGTCCGTTTACTCAGTACTTTGTTGAAGCACCTTTTGGCAGCAGTTACAGCCTCAAGTCTTTTTGAGTATGACTCAACAAGCTGTGCACACCTGGATTGGGGGATTTTCTGTCATTCTTGGCAAATTCTCTAAAGCTCAGTCAGGTAGGATGGGGACAGTCAGTGGACAGCCATTTTCAGGTCTCCCCAGAAATGTTCAATAAGGTTCAAGTCAGAGCTCTGGTTGGGCCAGTCTAGGATATTCACAAAGTTGTCCCTAAGCCATGTCTGTGTTGTCTTGCCTGTGTGCTTAGGATCATTGTCATGTGGGAAGTTGAATGTTCAGCCCAGTCTGAGCTCTTGAGCTCTGTGGATCAGGTTTTTATCGACCATATCTCGGTACTTTGCTCTATTCAGCTTTTTCCCAACCCTGACCAGTCTCCCTGTCCCTGCTGCTGAAAAACACCCCCTCCACATGAGGCTGCTACCACCATGCTTCACTGTTGGGATAGTATTGGGCTGGTGATGAGCGTGCTTGGTTTTCTCCAGACTTAACATTTTGAATTGATGCCAAACAATTCAATCTTCATCAGACCAGAGTCCTTCAGGTGCTTTTTTGCAAACTCCAAGTGGGCTTTCATGTGTTATGCACTGAGGAGAGACTTCCATCTAGCCACGCTACCATAAAGCTACCCAGATTAGTGGAGGACTGCAGAAATGGTTGTTCTTCTGGATCTTTGTTCCATCTCCACACAGAGTCTCTGAAACTTAAGAGTGACGATCGGGTTCTTGATCACCTTTCTTACTAAGGCACTTCTCCCCTGATTATTCAGTATGACTGGCTGAGCAGCTCTTGGAAGAGTCCTGGTTGTGCCAAACATATTCCATTTGAGAATTATGGAGGCCACTGTGCTCTTGGGAACCTTCAGTGCAGAAGAAATTTTTTTGTATCCTTCCCCAGATATGTGCCATGCAGTATTTCTGTCTCTGACCTCTGCAGACATTTTCTTTTGACCTCATGGATTTTACATTGATACAGAATGTTTTGTCAGGTGTGAGGCCTTTTATAGAGAGATGTGAGCCTTTCCAATCATGTCCAATCAATTTAATTTACCACAGATGGACTCCCAATCAAAGTGTAGAAACCTCTCTGCAACAATCAAGAAAAATGGGAGGCACCTGAGCTAAATTTGAAGTGTTGTTGCAAAGGGTCCAAATACTTATGCCAATGTGATATTTCTGTTTTTTTCTTTTCTCATACATTTGCAAACATTTCTAAAATTCTGTTTTCACTTTGTCACTATAGGGTACTGAGTGTAGATTGAGAGAAAAAAAATGAATTTAAACAACCGTAGTATCAGGCTGCAAAATAAAATTGAAAAAACTGAAGGGGGTCTGAATACTTTACACATTTATTGTGTGTGTGTGTATTCTGGGTACTTGTTTTAACTTATTTACATTGTAGGGTTTACTTTATTGCACACACTTCCTTTTGTTTGAGGTGCATTGGTTAGTCAACCAGTTCACTTTTACTCTTCTTTGATTTTATACACACTGGAGGAGATTTGCTAAAACTGGTGCACACAGAATCTGGTTCAGATATGCATAGTAACAAATCAGCTTCCAGGTTTTATTGTTTTAAGTTTATTTAAACAAGCTGAAGTTAGAATCTGATTGGTTACTATACACAGCTGCACCAGATTCTGTGTTCCCCAGTTTTAGTGAATCCCCACCCTGTATATGGTATTCCATGCCTTTTTAAATTATTATGTAGCCAAATTGTGTGTCCTTCGCTGCAGAGCCACTTTCTAGTAACTTTATGCACAAACATGTAAACACACTAAAAGAAATCACAGGTCAACTTTTAGGATACAATGAAAACTCCTCTTTTGGCCTGTATAATAAGTTTTGTTTCCCGTTTCTCTCTTAGGAAGAGAAAGCACGAGCTTATAAAAAAGAAAAGCAGCGGGAAAAGAAACGGAAGGCAGAAGAAGACCTTGGCTTTGAAGAAGACGATGAAATGGCTGCTGTTATGGGTTTCTCAGGGTTCGGTTCCTCTAAAAAGAGCCACTGATAAAAACTTGAAAGCAGCAGTCTAATATTACCAAGCAGATAGTGTTTTCCCTTATAGATATGTCTTTTTATATTGAACTGGAGCATTTTAAAAAGGAGTTATTTGTATTCCTCCAGTAGCGTTCAAAGCTGAGAAGTATGGGAGTATTCAGCAATCTCATACACTCTTGCACTGACCAAAACTGTGATTCCATAATGTACAAACCTTTATTTGCTTAATAGCCACCTAATTACCTCATAGTTTTGTGAGCTGATAATCCCACAGCTAAAGAACTGTATTAGTGACAGTGACTACACAGTGCTATCTTTCACAAAAAGAGCCTAAACTGTAGGCTATCCACTGAAATTAAATTGGAGGGGGCGGTAAGGACATGTTCAATTTATAATAAAAAATCCCTGGCGCCCCTTCCAGCATCATAACCTATTCTAAGTTAAACCCACAGGCACTGGGTTTAGATGCCTACTTTTTCCTTATGGCAGCCTTCTGCTGTCTGTAAAAGTCTGCGTACAGAATTTTTACATCTCTTCTGCAGGACCCCCCAGACTTGATTAGTGCTGTACTTGTGCAGCTCGAATTAGGCCCCATTCAAGTCTAAGACAAGTTTCTGCACAGCTGTGGGCAGGGTTATGAACTATGCAGGAGGCCAAGGTCACCACCACAAAAAAAAAAAGGGCACTGGAGGTGGTGTTAGGGGGGTTTAGCTTGTGATAGGCTAGGGGACTGGGAAGTTTTCATTCTAAAGTGAACTTGTCCTTTAAACATGAGAATTTAAAATCAGTTTAATTTGCATAAAATATTTACTTACAACATAAACTGGTTAGTTGTTACTTTCTCCAAACGTATGTTGCTGTTCTGTGTTTAGCTGTCTGAGTACTGTGACCTCATGGCTGCACAACTGGTCTTCAATTACATGCTGTTTCTGTAGAGGCACAGCTTTGAGTGGGTCTCTGGCTCAAAAGCTGCCTAGTGTAACATGTCTTTTGATAAAGTGATAGATTGAGAAGCAGCCTTTCTTCCAGCACGATACCTATGTTCATTTGGTCTCCATGCAGAAGTTCCCTGGAAACACTGATTTTGAAACTGATTAGGTCATGTCTGTGTGCATCACAACGCTCCTTAATAGGAGTTATATATGTTTTATACAACCCAGATGTCAAACACAAACTGAACGTAAGTGTTCTTAGCATCTTTTTCCTCATTCACAGTGTGCAGAGAGTGGACAGTTTTTAGTAACTCCACTCAGAACTGATTCAGTTTTGCATGGTTGCTGGTCAGATCACACACCAATATCTTTCAAATGTTGAGCTATCCCTGGTCAAATTCACATTTGCTAAACTGCAGTGTTTATTACAAGGCCAAATGATAGAGTCATGCTTTCTGATGGATTCTCCATCATACCGAACTAACAAGTAACTGGGGAGACCACTTGTAAGAGTGTGATTGGCACCTATGTTTTTGCTTTGTGGGAAATGGTGGATGCTAATTCTATAATACCCACATACTTTAAAGTAAACCTGTAGTGGGATAAATATTGGACTTGCCATTGCTGATCTCATTCTTAAAAAGCTAGCTGACTGGCTGCTATTACCTGCTAGCTTTAAAGGCCCATGATGCTGTAGAGAAGGACTCTTTTTGTGGAAGCAGTGGTATCTCTGCAGAGAGTCAGCTTAACCACTTAGAGGTTTCTGGCAGGGCACAAGCTTATGTACTCAGGTTGTGGCTCCTTTCTCATAAAAAAAAACTGTAAGGCCTCATGCACATTTTTAAAGGCATTTTTCTTTTTAATGCCTCTGGATGCTTAAATTCAGCTAATGTGTCCACATTGTGGGTTTAAGATTCCTATTTTAGAGCAGCATTCAGGAGCATAAAAAAAGCCCCAAATCTACATTCTGAGAGGAGCTTACTGGTTTTATAATTGCATATATACACGTGTATTCTTGTAAACTCCATCCAGTGGCTAGACTAAAGGAATATTCTGCACAGTAGAATGAGGTTACACTCATACAATTCTAAACACCATATGCCTGTAAATGTGTGCAATTACGTGCCAAACATGCATTTTGTACGCTTGATTTTTCTGCCAACTCCTGGCAGGAAGATCCAGCCTAGACCAGAGTATTTTAATACCCTCATGTGCATGAAGTTTAAGACTATGAACACCTTTTTGTTTTGACACATATGGAATATATTTTAATTAGTTTGGTTAGACTTTAATATTTTTGACTTATTGCAAATATACAAATCAGGAAATTTAGAGGTATTTACATAATTGTTCTGCATCTGTAATTCAAAAGTACTGAAACTTGAAAGAGTCAGTTTGAAAAGTTGGGCAGATAGTATTTGCAAAAGGGAAGCTCAGCAATGGGAGCTTGTACATTTCTCATATGACACAGCTACAGCTTTCTTCATCAACTTGATACTGTATTGCAAGACACATATTGGTTAATGTAAAAGGTATTTTGGATATTATTTGTACAATCTTTTGAAGTATGAATTGTAACCTTATGTCTCTAGATACCTTGGTGACCGTGCTTATTTTATGGTGACAGGCTGTTGCATATGCTATTGGTGTGCAAACCTAAGGAAATGAAGAAGTGATGACTTCCAACAGTTTATACATAGAAGTGCTTGTACAACCCTAAAGAAACAGGGTAGTGTTGGCTTCACTGCTTTGAACACTTATTTCAATAGATTTGTCTTCTAAAGTTGAACTACAGGCAAACCTAAAAGCACAGATAAAAATAAAAATAGGGAAACTGTTTTACCCATCATTCAGTCCGTGTTTGACATAGCCCTACCACACTACATTCCCTATTACAAGAAAGAAATACACCACTGCAACCAAGCTGGCACCAGCTCTGTTGATTCGATACTAAAGGAGCAGCAGCAGACTGAGGTGATCTGTCTGCTTCTCTCCTTCTATTGGCATGTTCCTAGTCAGTATATTGTCATGCAGCACACCAGTTTGCTGCCCCTCTTTCTCCTAGTCTGAGCATGTAGGGGAATGAAAGAAGTTGATATTACATCTAACTAATATAACTGATTTACATACATTGGCTGTGTTTAAAAATAAACATATAATTTATGAATAAATACTCAGCTGCATTAATTTGCCTTTTATGTCTGCCTGGAGTTCAAATTTTAAAGCAGTGTCAAATGCATATGTGTGTTAATGCTGCAAAGTAGTGTTTGCAAGTTAAAAGGATCTTAAAGAAAAAAAAAAAAAAAGCTATTGATTGAGTTATTTGGTCTTCAGTTACACTTGACATAATACATTCAGTGTTGTTGCGTCTTGGAGCATAATTATGCCCTTCAGCTATAGCTGGATTTATAAGCTTTCTTTTGGTGGGATTCTAGCTCATTCTGCCAGTGCTCCCCTCTGGCATCACAAGTTGTAGGTCTGGCAAAGAGCCCAAATTTGGTGCAATAGTGGCAGTTTTTAAGCCATGAAAAGCTTTGTTTGATATAAAAAGACTGAACATATAACAACAAAAGTCTAGCCCCTTAATATCTCTAGGTAAATAAGACATGGCTGCTTGTGGACTGCTGTTCTTCAAGTCTGCACATTCTCTCACATACCAGCTGGTTAATGGTTTTGCTGAGAGATTGAAATTGGGTAAGGCCAAAACCATTGAAGGGCTTAATAAGTCTAGGTGTTTTATTTACTAACATGGTGCAGGGAGCAGCCAAGCAAGATAATAGGGTTTTAATTAGTCAGATTACAGAATACAGCAATTTAAAAGTGAGATGTGATGGTCATTGTGCCCATATGACTCTTTGCACCTTGTTACCGAATAATGCCCTTAGTATTTTTCTTTTGTTACTTTTTGTGTAATAACTTTTTGTGAAATTCTTTTCGACATCTCAGCGAGTATGTTGCAAAATTTTTATGTGTATAAATATATTTTCATCACTCTTTTATCTTGAGTTTAAAACGAAACGCAAAAACAACCTTAAATTAGTTGGAAATGACCCGTGTCTTCAGTATCTATACCCCCACAAATACACTTTAAAATAAATTCATTGCCACTGTCACGCCTGCTGAATTTCATTATTGCCATCTATTGTAAGGAGTCCAGCTCTGCGTGCTTTTCTTTTTTTCTTTTTTTTTTTTTTATGGGAAACAATTTTCTATTCCCACTACCATGTAAATCTTTACCGTGGTCCGTAATATTTGTCAATGCTTGCTTCAATGGCCTTGCATCTGGGTACGCTGTGTGTTGATAAACACTAATAAAATTCAGGCCCGACTATTTTGCTAATGAGCTATGATAGCAGTCTGCCTATGACATAAGACAATAATTCTTCCCTTTCTGCAGAGTACGTCAGCACGAACTACCTAGGCGGAAAATTAAATCTTTTTTTTCTTTCATTGCTAGTGTTTATGGTTTTTCTAAGGTTTGAAACATTCTCTGGCATTTAAATTGAGGAGGTTATTCAGCAGTGGTAATGAATTCATATTTTTCCTTTTGGAATATATAGTAGTATTGGTTTATTAATGTTTTCTGCTTTTTTTTTTTTTTTTTTTTCCATTTTTATACATTGGAGATGAGTTTTTGCTAATAAATTTTAAGTGTTTACTACTGATTACTATTGGTATATTAAAGGGCAAGCTACACACAAAATAAAATTCTTATGAAATGCAAGCCTGTGATGTTAAATGCATTAAATGTTTACTTAAACTGTATCTAAACAGCAACATACTGCAACTTACCAGTCCTTGGATGTGGTGACTGTATTTAATTTGTTTTTTTTTTTTTGCATTTCTTTTTAATTCATTTCATAATCCTGCCAGTAACACACTTCCTGTACTAGGGTGAGAATACTTGTACTGGGCATTTATTTCAGGTTAGAGATGCATTTTCCCAACAGGAAGTGAGAAAATCTCCCTAATGGGGTACAAATGGTAGAGACAAAGGGAAAGATGTGTTTTGCTATCCAGATCAGGAGAGCAGCCCAGTGTGATAACCTACATACACTGGGTATAGAAAAGAATCCCC